ACGCGGAGGGGCGCGGAGCGACCTGGACCGGCTGGTTCCCGGTTTTCCCGCTTGGCGGCGTCCGTTTTGCTGGAGTCGCGAATAGACTTGATGATAGTTGTGGTGGCTGTAGTCTGGGTGGCACAAGATAATACACCCTGTGACATTCAGACCACAAAAAATGTGTGCACATTGTCTCCATAGGTCATCAAGCAGAAGAGAAGCATTCCAAAAAAATGATACCCACAATACATGGCTTCTTTTCACTGCTGGACATTTGAAGAGAGGTTAGCTAATACATAGACACTAACAAGACAGCAATGAGTGCCTACAGTCAGAGACAGATTATGAGTTCAGGGGAAACTCCTTCCACCCTTTTCCACTTGAGCAGAGCAAATGCTGGGGAGGAGGTCGCCTCCTCTACAGCATTCTGATCAAGTTTATGTGAAGCATCTATAATTTATCCTAACAGAAGAACAAAATGGGTGGCAGCAAGCTGGAACGATGCACAAAGGTCACAAAATTTGAAAACAGATCCGAGAAGAAAATTTCCCTTGAGCACATGCAGCGTGCACTGGATATGGCGGTAGATATTGAGTGCTGGCTTGGAGGAGACTTGCGGTGTGTCCTTTGACAATTACAACGTCCTCAGCATACAGCAGCCGTCCAACATGTGAGTGCCTAAGTCTGGACACACTCTGCATATGACATAAACTGGAATCGGTGAAGGCGAATGTTCCGAGCACACAGGCTTATTGGACCGGAAAAAAGAAATGGCATATCCGACTCCTTTACAGCGACAATTGTGTTCAGGTCCGAACTTAACCACACAAGTCAAAATATAGCTTATGGCCGAGTGCATCAGGAAAAATTTAACTAGGTTTTTGAAAAATGCATACAGTGAAATCCACTTATAACAATACCACATATAACGATATACCGCTTATAACGATCAGTTTATAGCGTTTCTAGAGTAGAAATGACCACTTTCTAGTTCAGATACAACGATAATCGGTTATAACGATTGCATTTCCGGGTTTTCTCATTATCGTTATAAGTGAATTGCGCTGTATAACCCAAAAAGACACACATTACCATACTTCATTTTACCCAGAATACATACGTTACCACAGACTACACGTCTAAAAGTTGAAATTTTGAATGGTGCGGGCTACCTAAAGTGCGGCACATACAAGGATTTGTTTCTCCAAGATCGTTCATCATGACAAGATGCGACACATTTTGTGAATGACAGCTTATGTTAATAATGACTTCTGTACGACAAGCATTTTTGCATGTTAATACAGCAAGCATTTTTCAACATGTGCCGTGTAGGATAATTTTTTCTATGCGGAGTATACTATAGCCTGCATAGAAAGGGGAAGCTCCTCCCACCCCTTTTTGAACAGAGTGAAGGCTGTAGAGGAGGTAACCTTCTCTCTAGCGTTCACTCTGCTCAAATGGAGAGAAGTGGAAGGAGTTTCCACTGAATTCTTAACCTGCAACTGACTATAGTCAGTGATTGCTGTCTCGTTAGTGTCCATGTATTAGCTAACCTCTCTTTCAGACTACAGCAAGATAAAGCCGGAAAAATATGGTAAGTTCTCAGAAATGCACTTAGCCCAGAACAATGTGTTAATTAACTCCTTGGGTTTGACAAAACATTGGCCTTACTAGAGATAAGCATTAGAAGAAAAAAAAAAGGGGGGCATCACAAAAGTACTGACCTGATGCTTCCCCGTGGCCTAATTTTTTGCTGCTACCACCGAGGGGGGATCTAATGGAGGTCACCATGCCACCGTTCAGTTCCAACAATCGACCAAGCAAGTCAATCTCATTGTTGCTGCAAGCGGCACTCTTACCAATGTGACACATCGCTCCTCGTCGGAGCTCCAGAGACAGAATACATGCCCATGACACAGATATATGGTGTCGAGGGCACTGCGGAAGCTATTGGGGAAATCATCAGCTATATTATGATGATAGGGAGAGATTTCCTGTTCAGTAGAATCGATCAAAAATGTATCTAAATTTATCATAGTTATTACTAACGGCAGATACGAATAGTTCTCGGCATTCATTTTATTCCCCGGAAGAGTCTACTTGCACGTGAAAAATTGTCGTCATGATTGTGGCATCAGTTTTGAGTTTTTCTCTACTGTGCATGTAGAAATCGGATGTCCATCAACGAAGCATTGCTACTCGTCATCGATTGCCCCTTTTTCTACCAGTGCTTGCTATAATCCCCTTCTGGGGAATAGTAGTTTTAAATAAATATATAAGTAATGTGCAGTTTTACCAAAGCTACAGGTAGAGGACGGTACCACCTGCAGTTAGACAGATGGGAAGGGAGGAAGCCTTCACAGAAATAGAGGCCTCGTCACTTTACGATGCCTCTGCCATCATGATTTTTAATATGTGGAGATGAAAACTAATTTCTCTCAATCGGCATCAAGCGGCTTAGCTTTACCAACAAGGTATAAAATATGTCGCATCACGACTCTCGATTGGGCTATTTGTCGTACGTGCGCCTTTTTCGTCCTCGTCTTGTTTGCGCTGTATTCATTGGTTTTAGGGTATACAACATAAGGCTAGACTGAAGGAACATATTTATGTCTAGTCTGGCCTGCAGTGATGCAAAATAAGCCAAGGCAAACAAGTATCTTCATGCTTGATATTTGGCATTAAGGTACCAAAACGTAATGCGCTTAAAGTTACAACTACTTGAGTTGAAATATAGTAAGGTTACACGAATAAAATCTGTGCACTGTGTCAGTAATAAACGCCCAGGATGATACCGAGTTTCATTGTTCGTGAACACAACACGCGCGCCGTCGTGTTTCAAATGGTGGAAAATATATGAGCCACGAGCACGATTTTATAGAACACTACTCGGGATAACATCTGTACGCAGTACATTTCGAAAGAAAAAAAAAGAAAAAAAAAATATTAATCTGTCGCAGACTAAACAAGCGGCAAGTGGTACGCGTTTAGCCGATGTAAATAAACGTCTTCGGAGGTTTATCTTACGGCAATTTCTGGACACTCTAGGAACGTAAAAAATATCGGGGCAAATAACTGCGATTCAACCCGAGGTACAACCCGAGAAAAAAAACAAAAAAACGACACCAAGTTGGATGTACAATGCGCAGAAAATACGCGGAATCCTTAATGTAACCCCTTCAACTAGAAGCCGTGTACACCGAATGCTTTGGAGGACCGTTCAGAGGACTTCGTGGTTCGGCGAAATGCGAGATCGGAGCCCCAACGATAGTCGCAAGCGGACCGATCGGGCAGTCCGAGGTGGGGTTAATACCTTCTTCTGGCCGCGGCTGTGCTAGCAAGAGTCGTTCTCGGCTGGAGGCCCCGCCTCCCAGCCTCACACTGAGGCCCCCCGCTGGAACAGCAGCGCGATCTTCCCTTGGGGGCTCGCCGTAGTGCCCCAAATGATTTCCGGGATCGCGGGCGAGTCGGATCTGTGCAGCGCTAGCACGCGACCGACTGTATCCAAGGGGTTTCTAGGGGCCCCCGATATCGGTGTGCGCGTTGCGCGTCAACGAACGGCGCAACAGCACTCGGCGACTCGACCAGGCGGGCAGTGCGTCGAGCGGCGCGATCCGACGGTCAGCGTGTTCGAGTACGGGCACGGTCAAGAGCGGTATCTCGATCCCGACGCAGTGCTCGCACTCGACCAGCTTCGACGTGCTTAGAAACGGGATGGTGACGACTTACGTATTTTTTGCCGAAGTCCAAATGGCGAAAGGTCCGCCAGCGAGCGAGCGAGCGCCGGAGTTCCGGACGTGCACAGGAACTGGTTACGTCACCAGATTGTGCAGCCCCGCCGCCACGTTGATTTTTCTTTTTTTCTTTTTTTTTTTTTTTTTTGCTTCTATTGGGGGAGTGCCAGCCAGCTCGGCGCTCGGCGGCAGCTTCGGGTGCATGCATCGTTGTGCGCATAATGTTCACGATGGGCAGGTATCAAGGGTCAAATCGGCCCTCTAGGGCTATCTTCGCTTGTTCGTTGGACACGGCAATACGTGACATTTTTGTCGCGTTTGCGAAGATATTGTGCTCTTCTGGGTGACTGGCTAGCAGGCGCGTGTACGGCAGCCTAGCACGTCACCCAGGGTGCAAGTAAAATATTATTTTAATATTACTATTGAATTTCTTGGTAATATCATCGGCAAGGAAAGGTTACAACATAATAAATTACATGACAACATCATTTGAGAAATAAATTGTTGTTCATGCTCATTTGAAAGCGGACGTCTCGCGCGGCAAAGAACAACAAAAAAAAATATATGTGCCTTTTATTAAGGAAGCAAGTCCTTCCTGAATTATTTCCATACTGCAAATAAACTACCAAGGCTACCAAGCTGCATATCTGATAAAATAAGAACAAGACCGAGCGCCGATCACCGCTTGGGCACGTAAAGGACCTTTTCTGAGTCTTTTGAGATATGGATAGCCAAACCTAAACAACGCCAAAATATAGATGTCTCGCAGCTTCTTCCAGAATGGTATGGGAGCTCCCAAACACATTCCAAGTCACACAGAGCAATGTCATACGGGACCTAGGAAGAGCTGTTTCCAGGGTCACTCCAGAATCTACCTAGCAGCAGAGGCGCGGTGTTTTCTGTTTTCGCACAACGCGCCACGATGTTCTTGAATCTCACTGTGAAAGTTCGGTGCCAATGATTGCATGTGGCTTTAATTATTCCGCAAATGACCTGCATTCTGCTGACCGCGAATGCAGTTTGATTGATGGAAGTTCAGCGTCGACTTGAAATAAGCGGTTGCACTGCGGCAGGGCCCTTCTAGAGGAGGCGGATTAGAAGGATCGGTCGAGTCCGGTGCCGCCGGTGCCTTCCAAGTCGCTAAACGGCTGAACTTTCATCGAGGTTGTAAACTTTAATATTCCACAGAGGTGTGCAGCGCAAGGGGCACAGATGGCGCAGCACAACATCTCAATACGCATTGGCTGAAGGCTCACGAAAACTTGATCTATCTATTCATCCCACACATTTATTTATTTATTAATAATAAAAATAAACAAGGAACAGGCTCAGAACAACAATAATACTAACATTATTATAATGACCATTGATAATTTGAAATAGACAAATAAATCCCTAGTCGGAGTTTGGCAAGTGAAGCAAGTGGCATTGTGGGCGCATCACCCCTTCAGAGGACGTTTGGGGCAAAGCGGTTCTGTAGTTTTTCGGGGGCCAATTTTCCTGCTCGCGTGTCCTTCAACGACGTCCAAAGAAGCATGCTGCGCGTTTTAGCTTTCAAGCAGCTCCCAAGGATCTCCCGCACGCTTCAGCTCGTCCCAACAGTGGGTACCGTGCGCTGCACGGGCACGCAGTCCCTGACGAAAGATGGCCGCGAGATCCTGCACCTCCCCAACGAGCCGCCCGAGCGCGACCTGGTCAACTTCCCGCGCCTCAAGAGGCCCCTGCTCCCGGGCAAGGTCCGCATGGGCGTCTTCCCCGAAGAGTGGTTCGAGTTCTTCTACAAGAAGACTGGCGTGACCGGGCCGTACCTCTTCGGCACTGGCCTGCTCACCTACCTCTACTCCAAGGAGATCCTCATCATGGAACACGAGTTCTACGCGGGGATCACGCTCGTCATCATGGTCGTGTACATCGTCAAGAAACTAGGGCCGGGCATCAGCGCGTACCTGGACAAGGAGGTGGACAAGGAGGAGGCTGACCTGGACTCGTTCCGACAGGGCAACATCGACGGCCTCCAGGTAAAGCCCCTCGATGCGTTTCTGGTTGTCTCGCAAGTAGCGTCAAATGTGCCACTGCACGACGCCCGTGTCTCATGCGGCCTTGGAAGCGAAGGACGGCAGAGATCTGGATGAGCATCTTACCGGTGTGCGGTCGTGTATTACTATTGCGTGATGCACGCTAGGGACCTCCGGCTACCCGTGGTACTGCTCTGGCCCCATTGCTCATCTACAGCCGAGACACCAGACGCACACTGGGGCTTATGAATAAAGTTTGGTTCACACGCTTGCGACTGCTTACAACCGGAGAGGCGAAAAACCGGTTTTAAGCCTTCTGCGACTGCTTACGGCCATATGTGTAGAAGTTTTAAACAGTTGCGAGACTTAAAACCAGTTCCTACGCTCCAGTCAGAAGCGTGTGATCCAGCTTTAACTTCCCGCCGTCTAAGCAAATGCATGCCACCATTTTTTTTAGTGGCAGCAGAGCACTCGCTTGTGGCACACGTCTCACCCTTGTGCACAACGGTAGACATTGGCGTAACACAAAGCGTGAATTTGATCGAGAGGCTTTACTTCCAGGAAGCCATCAAGAACGAGGAGCGGTCCCAGTGGCAGGCCCAGGGCCAGCACATGCTGTTCGAGGCCAAGCGGGAAAATGTCCAGCTTCAGCTCGAGGCCGAGTTCCGCAAAAGGCAGATGACTGTGTACAACGAGGTGAAGCGGCGGCTCGACTACCACCTTGAGGTGCAGAACATCACGCGGCGCATGCAGCAGAAGCACATGGTGGACTGGATCGTGAACAACGTCGTGAAGAGCATCACGCCGCAGCAGGAGAAGGACACTCTGCAGAAGTGCATCGCCGACCTCAAGGGCCTTGCAGCGACTGCCTGAGCGAGCCACGCCCCATTTAAATAAAGTCCGTAGTAGTCCCTGGCCACCAGTCTCTGCTACATTGCACCAAGCGCCCTATAGAGCCCTAGTCATACACCATACAAAACACAATGTTCGCTGCAGAAGCAATGACAGTATTACCTAGGGACATGCCTCAAGTGCCTTCGAAGCAAGTTTTCTTCATAAATATGTACACTTTGAACTAGAACAATTTTTGTAGAAGCAATGTTGCAGGACCTTCATTCAAGGAGGAAACATGCCTCGAATGGTATCTGCAGGAATGACCCCAGAGTCGACATCCTTTTCCCAAGCTTGACACAATTCGGTATCTCATGCCAACTGCAATTGTAGCAACAGTGGCACAGGACACACTGGTTTTGTGCTTGCTCGAGGTGCAGCTTGTTATGTGCGCCACTGTTGGCTTGCCGCAAGTAGTTTCGCAGTCCTGGCTTCATGGATCACCCCAACGAACGCATGGCCAACCATGGCAGTTCAGGCCTTTCTTTGGCCTTGGGTCTAGGGTGGTTATAGCGGCATTTCTAATTACCAGATTTTCTGGACTACAAGTTGTGCCCTTCTGTGAACGGCCACTTGCCCGAAAAAGCTGGCATATAAGTTGCGAGTTTTTGCACAGGGTGTGGCCCTAAGAACAGACTTGGCACACCCTGCAAACTTTGAATTTTATATCAAATTGAGCATGCAAACACTCGCAACAAGTTTTATGTAATTTTTGTTTTTAGACTCGACTAAGGGTTTTGCGTCCTGTAGCGACGCGTCATCTGCACACTGGTTTGAGGACTTGCACCTAGATGGCACAATGAACACAAAAATGCCATAGTAAAGGCTGGTGATAAGCGGGATAATTGCAATAGCTGTGCAACAATTTCAGTGCTTTGCTTAAATAATTTGGGAGTTGGGTGTCCCCACCTTTCTGAAGTAAGGAACAAAAAACCGCTTCTGCCTGCATGTCCTAGTTTTTATTTTAAAAATGGACAAGAATTAAGGTTTTCGGCACCTCTCAACTCCTTCACCAACTTCCGAGTCACGTGCGTTGTGACGTCAATCGGGGTCGCGCAAGGTTCCGGTGAAGCTCTCTCTCTAGAGCCATCGGTGAGCAGCGAGAACTCATCCGCTCACGACCGCGTGACCATGTGCTGGCCAGCGCAGTGCGAACAATATGGTGAAAGAAGGAAAGTCTCGTCCGGGTCCGGCCATCCCAGTCTGGGTCTGCCCACGTCCCCCTTCGGCTCCTGGCGGCTGTTCGAGGTAGCAGATAGAGCTTACGGTTTTGTGGGACTAAGATAGATGGCACCTCTAAAACAACGTATAATAAACGCTTTGTTGATGATGCCAGGTTTTTGACGCTAGAGCACTATATAGCTCCTATGGAGCAGAGTAGCGCAATCCTTTGATCCGCGTGTTTCGCCGGCAACATGGTCGACAGAGCAGCGCGGTGCGAGTCACGTGGTACTCAAGGTTCCAGGAGGCGGCCGGCTCGTTCTATGGGAGAATACATGGAGATCGACTCAACACGGCTGATTAAAGTATAAACGCCAAGTTCACACTTTTCGAAACTGCTCTGTCGTGAAGTTGGTAAAGCACTAAACACTTTATCAAAGTTTTCATAACATTAGATGTGTGTGAAAATTTTGAAAAGGCAATTTCCAAGGCAATGGCGTTTGAAGCAGACGATTTTTATATGCAGCGGAGAGAAGGACTTCCTGGGTTGGCCGGAGCGGGTCACGTGGACGGTGCGACGTCTCTGTGACGTCGCCGCGTCGTCTGCTGCGTGATGCCACTCGGGGCCTGTAAGTGGCACGGAACTTAGCGCAAATTATTCTAATGTTCCTTTATTATGTCAAAAACTATTGACGTTCCGTACATCCCCACAATATTGAAGAAACAGCGATTTTCTCAAGTTCCCCGTGCATTTCAAATCGAAGTTGAAACCCCTCGGTGTTCGCTGCTAGTCGCCGAAAAATGGCGTTCTAGATTGCACTACTCTGCTCCAAAGGAGCTATATAGTGCTCTATTTGACGCTTTTATATTTATGTTGGAACGACAAGATTTACAGAAAAGTTACCTTTAATTGAGCAGGTATTCGCACAACTTGCTATCTTTCTACAAGACCCCCATTGACGTCACGCAGCGTGGTTCTCATGGCTGCCGCTCGCTGCTGCAGGTCGGGGAATATTTTAATTTTTGCCTCGCGATTACGACATTTTAAAAGAAGATGTGTTTTCTGCCCTTTGTGACAAGATGAATAATGTCAAAAGTAGAAGATGCCAATTCTTTCAACGTTAAAATCGTTGCACAGCTCCTTTAAACTAAATGATTGACAACTATGTGGGAGCGAGCTTGCAAATCCGTGCGCAGACGACAAACAAGCCAGTATAGGACACGAGAAATGGACGGCCACTGTTTTTGCCCCATCTTAATGATTTCACCACCTCCAAGTTGAGCTTCAAAAAAAAAAAAAGAGTAATATGTTTTTCAAAACAACATTGTGTGTTCAGTTTTAGGTATTTATGTACATTTGAAATTCAAAATTTACAAGGTGTACCAAATGTGCTGGTTCTTGGCGACACATGCTATACGGTCAGCAGACCGTTCTCAGACTACTGGAAAAGCAGGACTTCACTGCTTGCTTTGTCGTACATATTGATACAGTGGCGAAAGTTCATAGTGGAATCGGCGTCTGGAAGGGGAGTTGCACTACCAGTGATGGAAGCGGCATCTGACCTTTTATGGCAGGTTCTGTAGCCGGCAAAATATTAGTTCGGAGCCAGTGGCGTAGCAAATTGTTTTTGAAAGGGGGGGCAAACAAGACCGGTCTGGGGGGCAATGCCCTTGGTGTTCCTTGGATGCTGCTGGCCAGTGTTTGCCCTGCCCAGTGATGGCTGTTTTGGGGGGGGGGGGGGGGGGGGGGGGGGCAAAACACATACCTTGCCCCCCCACTCTGACAGAAAATTGGGAGGGCAAGTGCTCCCCTTACACCCCCCCCCCCCCTTCTCCCTCCCCGGTTGCTACGCCCATATTTGGACCATATGCCAACATCTGTTAGCACCTCGCTTCAAAATAAAAACGTTATTGCATGACTAAATGAGTTCCTCTACATTTACAATAATGGTTGTGGGTTCTCTTCGATACTGAAGCACATTACCTATTAATTTTGTAATAAGAATCAATAGAGAGTGAGGAACACAGCACCTTTGTTTTAGAAACAATGCTCTGGTCAGAGTAGGTTTCATTTACAATGGGTACAAAAAAATGGTAGAAAAGTAAATCATAGCACAACACTTCAAATGGGACCTCTCTCCCCTCCCCCCTTAACACTCGGTAGTTTATTTAGCCTGCAACTATAATTTTAGTAAAACGCCTGCAAAATCCAGCACATCTGCTAACAGGTCTATAAAAAAATGACTCCCCCAACTTTTCCGAACTTACCGAACTAGAGACTCTACTATCATAAACTGCAAAAACCACCACCCACAAATATTCTGAAAGCCTAGACCCGTGCTCTAGATGTGAAATTGTTCTTTAGCAGCGTTGGAACCACAGTTAAGTCAAAGTTTGCTGTCGCTTTGAGCGACAGACGCACGGGAACTGCCTTGACCGTATTTATTCAAACATACTTTTTTTTTCTCTCTCTTTCTCGGAAGGTTTTTTTTTAATATTAAAGATCAACATACAGTCAAGAGCAAAGAAGGTCGACCCGCAATAATCCTGGGCACAATTTCCGTGCTCATTGCACTGACCCAGCTGCTCCCCCGTGCCAGCCGCTGCTCTCAGCGCTCAGGTGAGAAGCGAGGAAGCTCGACGCGTGCGTGCTGGTAAAGCGGTGAAGGTTGGCGTGAGCGGCGCAAGTGCCACGGTGCACTGTAGCCACAGCACAAAGGCATGTGGCGGACATGATGACCAAGTGATTTATTCAGGAGCGCAAGACCCTGGTTGTGTCTTTTCACAATAGCCACCATCCTACTATCTTGCTAAATTTTCTCACTTTTAGCTCATGACGGCGATCAACCGGCCAGCGCAGCTGACAAGCAATCTCTCTACTTTTGTTTCGCATTAAGTCAAAACGCACACTGCGAGCCAATGGTATCAATCAGTCGGATAGCTTCAATGTGCAACATGCATCATTTTCCTGTATGTGTTCATTGCCTAAACCAATAGAGTGCAGCGTAGCGCATGTCCCGTGACCTGCGCTTTTAGCATGTGCGTCTGGGGTTGTATGCGTTTGAGCCTTCGACTGTGCTTGGACACAAGACGAAATAAACTATACCGTGAGTAGGGCGGCGTGAAATATGTATTTGCACCATTTCCCTTTTTTCTTTCTCCAAATAAAATCAATCAACATTAATATGTTTCAATTTTTCTTTCTTCAAGTCCATCTTGGCACAGGTGCGGCACAACTCTTGGCAAAATAGGCATTTTGGTGCAAGATGTACCAGATTTTTAATCGTGACCAGATTTGGCACAAATGGTGCAGGTACCGCAGCGAAGGCTAGAAGCACGAGCTCATAGCTTGGGCAGCTGACCTTAATGCACGAGAGCTTGTGCTGCCGATATGTGCCCTAGAACAAGGAGCTTGCACTTGTAGCCTTTGCTGCGGTGCATCACAAGGTGAAACAAGTAGAGACAGTACACCTTTTCCACGCAGCAGTCGCCATCTTTAAGGCAGAGTGCAGTAGGGTCAAAAAATTTTCTGTTCTCACAATGACAGAAAAAGGTGTTTTCGTTTAATTAAGGAACAAAGTGCTACACATTCTTGTTGTGCGTCGCCTACATTTTTGCACCTTCACCAGGCTGAAATGCTTCATAATTATTTCTGTCGCTCACACCCTATATTGAAGTCCCTTGGCCTACAAACTGGTCTAAAGAACTATAAACCAGCATTTCAGTTGTATATTTTAGGACGTTTTGTAGATCAAAATTTATCGCGATAAAATTCCGAGCAAGCGCCCACTGGAAATTTCAAGATAGTCACAAGGAACTGGGATATAAAGGCCTGTTCGGTCCGCAGGTGGGGTACGGAGCAGGGTCAGTACTTGCGTGGTCTGCACATGCAAGATATGCACACTAATGTCATCAGGAGCACTCTGCGCAGCTTGCAATCTGCCAGCCCTCCCTTTCCTGTGCTCCAGCCACCTCGTTGGCAATTCCTTCTCTCGACTGCCATCACGCTCGCACCGTTCTTCACAAGCCGTTTGACCCCGATCCTGCTAAAGTTTCTCGTCTGTCTGCACCTCCCAAATAGCATCACAGTAAGTATGGACGCCCTCCTAAACATTAGTTACGGAAGGTGCTAAAGAAATTTTTGAACTTGCTTAAATTAACGGGCCATGCGCTCGACACTCTGCGTACGGCAGATTCAGAGACGGCAATGGCGTGCAAAGTGCCGACGCAGAGACTACTAAGTCGACACATATCTGCATGTTTGTCGACGCAATTTCTTTTAGAAGTAATGTCGTTAGTCATTTTTCAAATGTTTCAAAAGTAGACAGTTGGCACTTATCGGGGTACGGGCACATGCTCGGCATTTATTAATTTTACGATGGCGCCGGCCGCCCATTTGGTGGCCAAGGCACAAGTGAAGGCTTGAGATGTCGCAAAACCGTTTTTGAGCCCAGGGTTTATTGATTGAAGCAAAGAATTCGAAGGTCAGAAAATTTGAGCTTACGTCGAGCAGTCCCGGAACTTTTGAGCTTGTTACGTCGAGAATTTCAACAATTTTCGCACTTCTGAACCTGCGAAGTTAAGAAGTCTGATGCACTTCGAATCACATCTAGGATTTCAGGACAATCCATTGTGAATAGAATGGTTCTAGGCCTTTAAGACATGTCTAAGTCGGAATCTACTTTTACCTGCTTTGAAGACTTGGCAACTGCTACAGATTACCGCATTGTGCTGACAGAAGCATGCGACTGTGCAAGTTAAAAGCAACCCAAGTATATTCGAAGTACCATCGCTGTCCTTGCAGACAGACTCCAAGCTACAACAGGCAAGCCAATCACCAAGCTGGCCAGTCAGGTGGTGGCAGCAATTACTTTGACCGCAACTAGGGTATACATTACCCCAGCTGCACGAAGTGTGCAATTTCAAGTAAACTTTGCAAATCTCCGCTTACAATTATGAAAGATAAATCTGCGAAGAATTTACTAAACTCTGGAACTTGGACTCCGCATACTTAAAACTTTGTGAACTTGTCTCGAAATCTAAAAACCCCCATTGACGTCATGTTGAACACAAATTTTCGGAAACCTCGAGAGCCTCCAACTTTGCAAGTCCAAATCTCCGCCATGTCGGAAAGTGGCAAACTTTTGCAAACTAGAACTTCAGCACGGCAAGAAAAGTTTGCGCTCGAATCTTTGGATGCTCAAGACATCTTTCACTGGGTGGTCGCTGACAAAGAACAGAGTTGTGCTCTGGTTCTTTGCCGGCAGCTGCCCAGTGCACAGGTTTCTTGCATTTGCGTGAAACAACTGAAAGAGCACTCAAACAAAAGGTAGAGAACCAGAGGTCTTTATTGTGAGCCGAGAATCGCTGGGGCAAGTAGCCCGCTGCTACGCGGAGAAGCTGTGCGTATTACCAGAGGTGATGGAAGACCCGACAGTCTCTACCCCAATGGGAGACTCGCGCGGCGCTGCTTCTAGAATGCTTCGACAAGATTCTGCAGCATGGGGGCCCGACTCAAACCGAGTGCACTTAACAGTGGTGTGGGAACAATCGCACATCGCTCGTTTGCCCCCAGAGATCCACGTGAAGAATCCAAGAGGGACAGGCTCGAAACAAACAACACAGAGGGAATGTTGGCGTCTGCACGATCAGACGTGTCGCGACTCGAGAGGGATTCCCGCCGATCCCCGGAGCAACTTGCGCGACGCGCATTGGGCCACTCCGTTTTATGGGTCGAAATTCGTATCCAGTGCGGAGAGCAATGACTGCCTTATATATATATATATATATAATATATTTATATATATACATTTTACAAAGTGGGCCCAAAGGATCGACCCCGTTTTGGAACAAGTCGCCGGAATCGGTTTAGTGCACTGCAACGTCGCAATCTGCCCCGATAAACAGAACTTTTCCAGCAGACAAACAAATTTTCTTTTGGTGTTAATGCAGTAAATGCTGCGACTTTCGGGACGCTCGATTCAACGTAAAATGAGAAAGGAGGAAGGACGGTGTTTTAACAGCACTCCCGTTCCCCCGAGACAATCCGATTGGGTGCCTTTATGAACCACAGCAACGTCCGTTCCCTCATGAAAAAGAGTCACTCTGCATCAACCTGTAGCAACACCTTGGCTTTTATCCTAGCTTCGATGCAAATATATTTTCTTCTACAACTCGGCGGAACAAATGCGACGCTTAGCGCCGCACCGTCGTAAATCGAAGCCCTAGCACACGAAACCAATTCCGACGATCCGTTGGGTGCGGGTTCAATCCATCTGTTCCACACGGTAGAATAGAACGGGCCTCCGCTTTCTAATGTACACGGGCCCGTATCTGCAGCCGGTAAAAATACAACTCGTTTTTGTACACATAAAGCGCGACGCAATGCGTCGCAAGGGGCAAGATCGCGGAGCAGGAGCTAGTGCGAACGCGTCCAAACGCGGAAGGTCTGCCCTCTCAACTTACCGCACATGCATCGCGGCAGTTGGCAGAACAGTGGCTCTGCACCTTTGGGAGAGGACGCCCGGTTTGCCCGGGCGCAAAAATAAAACGAAGTTGTGCTACCTGCACCTGAATGGGCGAGACAAACCCAAAATCGTGAGACAGCCTGCGTCCGGCAACCACAAATGATTGGCGACGCACCAAATCTCGTCGACGCTCCCGGTCTCGAGTGTCGGGGTGCCAGAGGAGCCTAGAAAAGCTCGAGGACCCCGCCGGCCCGAGAGTAACCAACCAAAAGGCCGGGAACGACCTGGCTCGAACTTGGTTGCGTCAAGGTCATTCAAGGTCGGGCCAAGGTTACACCAGCTTGACTCTGATTGCAAACCAAGGTCACCCCGGCCTAATCTTGGTTGGGAACGATAGAAGCGCACTTCCAAGTTTAAAATTAGCTCGAAGAAACCGGTAAAAGAAGGGCGAAATACTAAACCGGCGCCGCGTCCCCCGCGAGGGCGAGAGGCGCGCACGATGTGCCGGCCCGGCGTAAAAGAAAAGCGTCCGCACACATTGCGGCAAGCGTGGCCGGAGAGGCATCGTGTCCCGCCGCGGGGGGGCCCCCGGGGTACGACTCTCGGAGGGCGGGACCAACGTAACGTCCGACGTCCCCCGCTCCCTGGGGAGGGTGCCGGAGAGGGCAGCCGGTTCTCCCGCGGCGGGGGCCCGGGGTCAGGCCGCGGTCTGCTGCGCCAAGCTTCCGGCAAAGTGCGTGGGGGGCGGGGGAGCCTGACGTTGATGGTTCTGCCGGGGCACTGCACAGGGAGAAACACACACAGGCGCTGCTCAAAACACTTTTTGACTAGAAAATATAAGAAAATATACCGGGGTTTTATGTTGCATGGCAACCAATCGAGGAGACCAGTACAGTGTTCCGTGCATTCGGTGTATACCGACAAATTCTTCGAGTGAACCCCTAATGCATCTTGGAATATTTAAGGCTGGATCTCACCTTGCAACTGCTTACGACCGACCGCGTTAAAACCTTGCGCTCTCTCACGACGAGAGGATGCTGGCGCCAGCCAACATGCGGCCGGGGAACACTCACGACTTCCGTACACATTTCCTTTTTATTCTGTGCGTCATTCATGTTTGTTGGCTCGGAAAAACTTTCGACAATGTTATAAACAGACGTTTCTCGCAAGTAGTATGTTTGATCCTGCATATACCTTCGCCCTCGTGAACTGCTCTTCCGGGGCCACCTTGTAGATAGCGCCAGCGTGCCAGCATGCTCTCTCGTCAATAAACGTAAGCATAGGAACCACTCTTTGATCACAGCCTTGTTTTGTGTGGACCTGGAACGGGGCCCGCATCGACCTGTCCACGGGACCCCTTCTTTCCTTGGGAGACACGCCCATTATCTCGTGTCTTTCTCTCGTGTGCGCAGGCACAATTCCCATAGGCAGTTGGTGAGCAAACAGTTTGTACGATAGATAACCACAAAAAAGACGAGCAAAAAAAAATACAGAGTTACCATATTTTCTTGCGCATAACCCGCGTCAACGTTTATAGAAAATCAAAGGCAGAGTAGGGGGTGTGGGTTACACATGAATTTCGGAAGGCAGTGCAGCTTCGCGGCAATGCGCACAAAGTCGTAGGGATGGATTCTCCAGAGCCTCTCCTCTCCAATCTCTCCTAGAGCCTTTCTTCTCCCCTCCATCTCCTTTCTTCAGGTAGCCACCTCTGCCTTGTTTTCGTGGGCACCGAGACGTCGATCACCGCTCCACGCCGTCGTCAAATCCGCAGAAAAATCGGAAGCTGAGCGGCAGGCCGAGACTATGACCACTACGTCGTTGACTAGTCGTGCGTGCGAGGATGGAGGAAGAATGAGAACCTGTGAACTGAAAGCCACGACTGACGATCGTTCTATGATCCGAAGACACAATGATTCAATCCGTGATCTGGTCTGCGACCACTTCATTCGGTTAGGATGAACGTTCGCGGATCGCGGACCGTGTCGCGGTATTTGTGGGGGTGGGCGATCGCTCCGTGTTTTTTTGGCAATCGATATTGAAATAAAAACCTGAGGTGGGTGATGGACACTGGTACTTGTGATGTCTTACTCTCTTTGACTTTGACAGACATGACATTTTCGCATAATTTGACTCAAGTTGTTAAGGGGGGCACAACCCAAGAATTGAAATTTTTAGAAAAACAAAAGCGTTTTTGAAAACTATTTTTATCATCTTCTATAACTAATAAAGAACGCTCTCAGAAATTTTTTTATCTTCACCTGTAACATGTTTACTCGGGAACAAATCTTTCTCAATGTGCCGGCGGCCGTGCGCACTGGCCACAGATGCAGCCAGACCAGTGTGTTTACCTTTTTCAAAGCGAGCCCACTCCCAGACAATTAGGCCTAGCACGGAGTGGGTCCCCTAATTGGAAAGACTGTGTCTTCCTTTTGTTTACATTGCAGTTCATTGTTCAACTCTGTGCGTACAGGAGGGAAAACCCAGTGGCAAACATGCTTTGTAAAGCACCACAGAATGTTACACGCGCTCCTATTGGCCAGCCAGGTGAAGCAGCAGCTCCGATTCCTTCTCGGGAGCCAAGTACCCCAAAAAGCCTTCTGCTCACACACACGGACCCTCGTATTTCGCTCTTTCGCTTTCGAGCTTCCTCACGCGCAAGTTACGTTCTTCCATTCCTTTACTACGATGCCGGCGGTCAACCGTCGGAAGTCGTAGACATTCGGTTCTTAGAAGCGCAAGCGTAAGCAGCATAGAGGCTCCAGTGGAGGCCGACCGCGCAAAACGGCTGCGACGTCCCTGTGCGTTCCTAAGTCCAACGCCGTCTTCTACAGCATTAGTGCTCGAAGGTATAGACCGCTCGGAACTATCAGATACTGCCACGCCGGTTACCGACACCCCCGTGACGTGGCGTTTGCTCTTCGCCAAGTCACAGTGAAACCGGCTACCGTACGATCTCGGGCGGCCCAAGAGCAGACCGGAACCGCCCGTGAAAAAGGGGGGTGCTCCGTACCTTTGCTGGGGTACCTCTTGACCTCCGTTGCCGCGTAGACTGGGCCAGGAACGTGGTCGATGGGGCGAAAGCTGAAGCGGCTCTCGAAAGCTGCACGGAGAGGGAGGCCTCGAGTGAGGGACAACGCTTTTCGGTCCAGCCGGGCAACAAATAATGAGGCACGGCCGTAGTGCTGGAGTCGCGGAGGTCGGCGTGGGGCACAGATTAAAAGCGGGGGCTGCGTCGGCGCTCGGCTGAGACTCGCGTCGTCGTTGATTAAACGGGAGTTTCAGCCAAACACCAACGTACCGCTCGTGTTCAATCTGGGGTGACACGAAAACTCCAGCACTACGGCCTTGCCTTGTTGTCTAGGGGTTGTTCGGTCAGGCCATTTCAGGGGCATGGCAAAGAAGCACAAGGCTAGAGTTTCGATTACAATCAAGTGTCTCCGAGCCCTTGAGAGCAAACTGGACTGTAAGTCAAACACATGTGTTGATCCTGTCTACGCTATACAGTACCGTGTTTGCATGATTCTAACGCACACATTTTTTCACCAGAATTGGTGCCCAAAAATACATGCATGTTACGAATGAAACTCAAAAAGAAATACGCAATACACGATATAAGGTGGCTCGCCCCATCGCCATCGTGACTTTTTGTTTACGTCCACCATTTCGGTTTTTGTATCCCGATAGCGATGACGAGTGATGCATACTGCTGCGTGCAGGGTCACGGACTTCTAGAAGGCTCTCATTTATCCTTGCTCCGGACATAAATTCTATTGTTTATCTCTGCTTTTGTTGTTCTAGAAAGTGTGTGTTCATTCTCGCCTTGAACGCGCTACGCTTGAAGGTTCTCCGCCGAATCTTCGAGATAGTGACACACTCTAGATAAGAGGCCGCCCGCAACCTTGTCGAGTCAGTTTTTGGCCCCAGCGTTCGACTCTGCTGACACGCCGACTTTGACGCCTGCGACGCTCTGTTTTCTTCCGTTTCCTTCTTTATTTTTGGGCACAAGTTCGCCCGATTAAACATTTAGTTTACTCAGTTATTCGCCACCTCATCACTTGTCATTTGTGACAAGTGATGCACCGGACCGTCGTTGTGATGACGACCTTGCCGGCGGGAGACAGCACCGTTCATTTCATCGCAAGATTGGGAGACAGCGTCTTTCATTTCATCGCAAGATTGAAACATTTGGAATAAACCTTTGAGGTTCCAAATGAGAAAAAGTTGCATTTCTGTATCCAACCTACAGAATCTGGTGCGCGTAACAATCGAGGTCAGAGCATTTTTTTGTTCGGACCTCGAAAAATGGGTGTGCGTTACAATCAAGGGCACGTTAGATTCGAGTAAATACGGTATTGCTAAATTTAGCTAATGATGCACAGTACAGCCACAGCTACAGCAATGCAAATCCCAACTTTACTTCCGCTAAAATGCATCTTGCAATAAAAATTAATTGTCTGTCTGTCTGGCATTTCCTGAGACTGTTCTAAATGCATAGCATTTAGGACACCTTTGCCGATGTCCACTTGAAACCACACACTGAACGGGCTGTCCGGAAACTGGCAGTGTGTAGTGGCGATTGGCTGTTTGTCGCCGTTTGGCTCGGTGCTCTCGCCCTCCCTCTTCAACATTGGCACTCCTGCACCGCTTTGGGGGTACGCAACGTCCGCAAGCGAGAGCCTTCATAGTGTGTGTAGTCCACCTTGCTGCCTCCGCACGCATGCCGAGGAAAGTCCCCACTCCCAGAGCAGTCGCTGAAAGAGCGCTGCATGCTCCGTCGAAACTTCGTCCCAGACTTGGACACATAAGTGTTAAAAGCTAACCCTATAAATGCTACAAATTAAAAAAAAAAAAAGAATTGAGCAGGTCTGCGTCAATTTACAGTACAGTCGAAGCGAGAGCTCGACTGTACGCCATGGCACCATGGCAAAGTCGTTGGGCATCGGCGTCGTGTTCACACACGCACCGTGGTGTGCGTGGACAAAAGCGTTCGGAACAAAATGGACATCTCACCATTTGGTTACGAACACTTGTTTCTTTTTTGTTTCGGAATGCGTGAAAGTGCTTCTTCCGGCACAAGGTATTCGTATTGCAGTGCTACAAAGGCATTTTGTTATCCATTATTTCTTTGTATTTTTCCAGAGAGCGCGTGCAGTGGGTCTATGTACAAGGCGGGTTGTAAACGCTGCGGCGAAGCTCCGTGCTAACGCCTCTGCTTCGGACGCAGCGGGCCCATGTTTGATTCCCACGGGCGGCGGGCAATCTTTTTCAAGGATTAGGCTGCACCGACGACGGACGCCCTTCTACACCAACAGCATCAATAACTACGACTACAATATCAACAACCGACGTCTTTTCCAGTGGCGGGAAGAGCCTATGACATCTATCGCCGTAAAAGAGGAGTGCGGCATGCCGTTGCAAAAACGACGTGCCCTGCCACCACCGCCTGCACCAATGCTGGCAACGGCGGCGGTGCGTGTGGGGTGGCACACTCACCCGCAGGTGCCGCGGAGTTCCTCATGGAGGAGCTGCGCAGGGGAGGCGTGGGGGAGGGCCGGGGGGCCGCGGCAGGCCCCTGGGGCCTGGGCTGGTTCCGCTGGGGCAGCTGCGGGGGCAGGCTGCTGGGCAGGGGAGGGGGCTGGCCCCTCAGGGGCGGAGGGGGAGGCCGCGAGGCAGGGGGGGCACGCAGCGGCGGCGCCGGGGGGGCGCTCCGGGACTGCGTGGGAAGAGAAACACACGGTCGGCACACACCCCCGAGAGCCTAGATTTGGCAGAGTGAGCAGCTCAAATCGTGGGGCACAAAACAGGTGCTCGTGCTTTGAGTCGCTCACTGTTTGAGTTGCTCATGGTTTGAGTTCATCACGATTTGGGCTACTCGCATGAGCGATTAATCTGTGTGAGACACCTCTCGCAGATTGGTCGCTCATGCACACGTGTAAGTCGGCACATGGTACGGAGTACATCGGGCGGAGAAGCTGAGCCAAGCCACAAGACACTCGCAGATGACAGATGCTTCTGCCTGCTCCTCGCAGCTAGCATTCCGAACGCGACCCATAAATCATGCAACCCCAAATTGAGCAGTGTGAATCACTCCAAAATCTAGGCACATTACGCTGGCCGGACGACCACAACCAGCCATCACTCTGTCCTACTCTACGACGTCCCGTCACTATGACACCTGGAACGGTGTGTTAAGCACCCTATACTGCCCGTATATTGAAAGTGGTCCCAAAATGGGGACGAATGACACCACAGGAGCTGGCACGTCATGGCGTCTGATGTCGCCATCCTGGCGGTTGGCCGTAGATGCTCCGGCAAAAAGTAGGAGCAAATCCTAGTGTCGCTGCCGTTGCAGCATTTTAAGTCCAGGCTGCCCAAGCTTCCCTAAACTGTCAAAATGGAAAGTGACCTGCAGCAGAATGGCTGCGTGCTGCATTATTCTGCAGCAGGTTGCTGAAACACCCCATAAAAATTGAGTTTCTGAGAAAATTCATTTCATACTTGCTACATTTTCTAAACATTTGCTCATTAAAACATACGTACAGCCTAAGCTCGTTATAGCAGACCTTGATTTTGACCAAGATTTCGGTCTGTTGTAAGAGGGGGGAGTATGCTGCATGCAGATATGAAGTTGAGTCAACGGTATGTAGAGGAAAACCAACCAAACTTCACAAATCGGTATGTTATATTGTCACGGGTGGTGACCAAAACAAAAACAATAAATACACAGAAAGAAATAAACGTTTAATGTGGCGAACTTGTGCCAAAAATAAAAGGAAATAGAAAGATAACAACAGAGCGTCGCGGGCGTCGAAGGCGGCGAAGCAGCAAGGTCGAACGCTGAGGCGAAACTGACTCGACAAGGTCGCGGGCGGCCTCTTATCTAGAGTACGTCGCTATCTCGAAGATTCGGCGAAAGCGGCTCGAGCGTCGCGTGATCAGGGCGAGAATGAACACGCACTTTCTAGAAAACAAAAGCAGAAGATACATGGATATAAATAATAGAAGTTACGTGCGTGCGCTACATGAATAAACGGGAACTTTCTGGAGGTCCGAGACCGAGCGTTGCTTTCTCAGCCCTGCGCGCGGCATTACTCCCCCCTTTAAAAGTGCATCGCCCCGATGCAGTGTAAAACAAAACAAAATAAAAAAGAACGATAAACTCAAGAGTCTTTTGGAGCATGCACATAAGGTCCACAGTCCTATCGAGCGTAGTACGGCTTCAGGCGCACGACATGGACGACCTCAGGTCGTGGTGGGCGGCGTGACGATGTTCGTGTTCCGTCGGGCATCACCTCGTAGTTCAGCTCGCCGAGGCGACGAAGTACCTTGTATGGTCCAAAGTACCGTTTCAGCAGTTTCTCACTGAGGCCGCGGCGACGGATGGGCGTCCAAACCCACACCCTGTCTCCGGGCTGGAAGTGAACGTCCCTGCGACGAAGGTTGTAGCGGCCCGCGTCGGCGCGTTGCTGGTCTTGAATCCTGAGTCGGGCGAGCTGGCGGACTTCTTCGGCCCGTTGAGCAACCACCTGGGCGTCGTCGCTCTCACTGTCAGCTGGCTCATGGGGCAGCATCGCGTCCAGCATGGTCGTTACTTTGCGCCCATGCACCAGTTGAAAGGGTGTCACTCCGGTGGTCTCTTGTACGGCCGTGTTGTAGGCAAATGTGACGTACGGCAACACCTCGTCCCATGTCTTGTGCTCCACGTCGACGTACATGGAGATCATGTCGGCGATGGTTTTGTTGAGTCTCTCCGTCAGCCCGTTGGTCTGCGGGTGGTACGCCGTGGTGCGACGATGGCTGGTGTGGCTGAGACGAAGGACTTCTTCCGTCAGCTGGGCCATGAATGATGATCCACGGTCTGGGATCAGGACTTCGGGAGCGCCGTGCCGGAGGACAATGGACTCGATGAAAAACTTGGCGACTTCAACAGCCGTTCCTGATGGAAGGGCTTTTGTCTCGGCGTACCGCGTGAGATAATCGGTTGCGACTATTATCCATCGGTTTCCTTGCATCAACGGTGGGAAAGGTCCGAGTAAATCCATACCGATTTGCTGGAATGGGGCAGATGGCGGCGCAATAGGCTGAAGAAGTCCTGCCGGTCTCGTCGGTGGCTTCTTCCTTCGTTGACACTCGTGGCAAGATCGGGTGTAGTGGTGTACTGTCTTCGCAAGCTTGGGCCAGTAGTACTTTTCGCGTATCCTCGCAAGAGTCCTGCTGTAACCAAGGTGTCCCGCCGTCGGGTCATCGTGGCAGGCTTGAAAAATTTCTTCTCGAAGACTGGAAGGGATCACCAACAGCCACGCCGTGTTGCTGTCGCTGAAGTTCTCTTTGTACAGTACGCCTTGTCGGATGGAGAAGGTTGGCCGTGTTCGAACAAAACCGCGGGGAACGGCGCTTCCTTGCCCCTCTAGGTGTTCGATGAGTGCTCGCAGCTCAGGGTCGTCTCGTTGGAGTGCTGCCATGTCGCTTACATCCAGAGCGCCGAGGAAACACTCATCGTCGTCCTCTTTGGTGCAGGCAGGACCGGCCTCGACTGGGGCCCTTGACAGGCAGTCGGCGTCATTGTGCTTCCGGCCGGACTTGTACACCACGGCCATGTCGAACTCCTGCAGTCGTAGGCTCCACCGAGCGAGGCGTCCGGAGGGGTCCTTCAGATTCGCCAGCCAGCAGAGCGAGTGGTGGTCTGTGACCACGCGAAAAGAACTTCCATACAAATATGGGCGAAACTTTGTTATTGCCCATACGACAGCGAGGCACTCCTTTTCGGTCGTTGAATAGTTCCTCTCCGCTTTAGACAGCGTCCGACTTGCGTATGCGATAACTCGCTCGGCTCCGTCCTGCACTTGGACTAGTACCACACCCAGTCCAGTGTTACTGGCGTCGGTGTGGATCTCGGTTTCAGCAAACTGGTCGAAATGGCCAAGAATCGGGGGCGTCTGGAGTCTTCGTTTGAGCTCGTCGAATGACCTCTGGTGTTCTTCTGTCCACTCGAACTTTACGGCGTCCTTCGTGAGGTGTGTCAGCGGTGCGGATAGCTTGGCGAAGTCTCGAACAAAGCGCCTGTAGTAGGCACAGAGTCCGAGAAATCTTCTCACGGCCTTCTTGTCAGACGGCGGCGTAAATGCAGCTACGGCGCGGGTCTTCTCGGGGTCAGGTAGAACACCCTTGTTGTTCACGACGTGGCCAAGGAACTTTAGTTCCCCATAGGCGAACCGACACTTTGTTGGCTTGAGTGACAGGCCGGCGGTCTTGATGGCTTGAAGCACGGCTCGAAGTCGCCTGAGGTGTTCGTTGAAATCTCGTGAGAATACCACGACATCGTCCAGGTAGACGAGGCAGCTCTGCCATTTCAAACCTGCCAGCACGGTGTCCATGACGCGCTGGAAGGTGGCTGGTGCTGTACAAAGTCCGAACGGCATCACTTTGAATTCGTATAGTCCGTCGGGAGTGACGAAGGCAGTTTTCTCCCGGTCACGTTCGTCGACTTCAATCTGCCAATAACCACTCTTCAGGTCCATCGACGAAAAATATCGGGAGTGGCGCAGTCGGTCTAACGTATCATCGATGCGGGGGAGCGGATAGACGTCCTTCTTTGTCACGGCGTTCAGTCGACGATAGTCCACGCAGAACCGCAGGGTTCCGTCCTTCTTCTTTACAAGGACGACTGGAGACGCCCGTGGGCACCTTGAGGGTTCAATGATGTCGTCGTCGAGTATCTCCTGGACTTGATCTTGAATCACTTTCCTTTCCTTTAAGGAGACCCGATACGGCGACTGGTGGACAGGAAGTGCGTCGTCGTCGGTAACCATGCGATGTTTCGCCATTGGTGTTTGGCGAATCTTTGATGTCGTGGCAAAACAGTCACTGTATTCGGCAAGGAGATCAATCAGTTGCCGGCGCTTCGTAGCTGGGAGCTCGGGGTCAATGTCGAGCGGCGGCGGCGTCGTGCTTTTCTGCTGAGGCGACGAGGTTTCCTCGGAGATTGCGGTGACCACCGCTGGCGCTTGAAGCTCCTCGACGTGGCCCACAGTGGTACCCTTCGTTAGGTGCTGCGGCTCCTCTCGAAAGTTCGTCACAAGAACGGTTGTACGTCGTTCTTGGAGATACGTTACGCCTCTTGCGACGCCAATTCCTTTTTCGAGGAGCAGTTGGACGCTGCCTTCCAGAAGAGTTTCACCGTGCATGGCGGCGTCGGCCATAACGGTGACGAAAACACTCGACCGCGGCGGTAGGTTCACATGGTCGGCGATAACTCGGATCGCGGTTGATGTTGTGTTGGTCTCCACCGGCGGTAAAACAGGTTTCCGCAGCGTCAACTGGTTTTCCCCGAGGTCGATGACGGCGCCATACTCGCAGAGAAAGTCCATTCCGAGGATAACGTCCCTCGAACAGTCTTGCAGAACGACGAACTTCACAGGGCACGTTTCACCGTGGATCTCGACGCGAGCAGTGCATCTCCCGACTGGCGTGATGAGATGTCCTCCGGCGGTTCGTATTTGAGGTCCATCCCACGGCGTCATGACTTTTCGCAGGCGGCGAGAGAGCCTCCCACTCAAGACTGAGTAGTCTGCTCCGGTGTACACGAGTGCCGATGAGTCGAGGCCGTCAATAACAACGTTTAAGTTGTTGGACACCGAAGCAGGAGCGTCGTTGTGATGCGTATCGTCGGGAGAGTGGGAGCGCTCCGTCGTTCGTGGAGGCTCTTTACGTCGG